GGACTGAATGTTTTCTTTTTGTAAATATATGTATAACAATTTTGATTTAAGTGACTTATTTCATTTGCAGCAGTTTTATTTTGTTGTACAGTTTACCTAAAGCTATTATTTTTCAAAAACTTACGGCCATTATTATAATTAGGATAACTTGACCTGGCTGTTAAAATGTGTTGGTCACAACCTGGAAATTGCAGTTTATTGTTTAACAATGTTAGTTGTCCAAGTCATGTTAGAAATCTGGAAACTTAATAAGGTATATATATCTCAAACAATAACTCATCAAAATGAATGATGCAAATGTATATTTAATTTTCTTTTAAATAGTAGTTTGATTAGGGATCAACTAAATCAAAGTAATGCCCTCTGAGAACCATAGATCCTTTCAGTGCACCTGTTATGAGGTTATTTTGCCATCAAGAGTGTGCGTAACGCCATAAAGAGAAATGAGTGAGCTTGAATTGGCCAAAACGTTGGGTGATCAGGCCATAACACTGCAATATACCTTGTTGTAATAATTTGTGAAATATGTATATTTTAGGCATTCAACAAAATAAATTGGAATGGTTTAACAAGTACAGATTTTATGGACATTAAACTGGTTTCTTAAATTGTACAGAGTTGATTGGTATGAGAAAAGAAAAGCAAGAGATAACCTTATTTGAAATGATAGTTTAACCATCGAAGATTTACTCCTGTCATATTCATCAAACATTTCTGCATTAATTCCTAATAAAACACATAATTCATTGATAAAATATATGCAAAAATATTTCTTATTGTTTTACAAATTAGCACCTACTTCATCAAAACACCAATCCCCTTTATCCCCACTAAAACAGCACAGATTTAATACATTAACAAATGTCATATAAAAATGCCTCTACTATTGTTTTGACATAAAACTTTCATTCTTCCAGTACTGTTGCATAGTAAACAGCAGTATATTTAAAAGTAATGCTGGGACATAATTTAAAAATTATAAAATCTTAAACAAGTTATGAATGATAAATTGCTTCTTTGTAAACAAATTACTCTATGTTTTTAGATAGAAAATCATCATGTGCACCGTGAGAAACAACCCCTTGAAAAGGATTTGTACATTAAGGTGCAACTGTGCATTGTAGTTACGTCAATGCATCTTTGGAAACCTTCAAGTCTTGTTCTCTTTAGTGTTTCAAAAATAATTATAATGTTTTGTCACAAATAAAGCTTAGCATTGCAGTGGCACACATGTTAGTACTTAATTAAACAAATTACAGTCAATTGGATCTTGACCTAAACTGGCAGTAACTTGTATAGAAGAGGTTACTTCAGTGTTTTTACTCAAACAAATATTACTTGTCGTCTGTAAAACTAAGACTAAAATGTAATTAAATGTTACCTGTACATTTCCTTGGCCTGTCATACAAAAATACCAAAAATTGGCTAATCTTTAGCCTTTGACCTGATGCAAACTTACTCAAGGGCACATTCTTCTAGTTCACTATGCGTCACTGGCTCTGAAGACACCTCACTGATTAAGTTGGGAGGCTCCTCTGTATCGTCATCTACCTGAGACACAGAAACATCTGTAGCAGCTCTCTCCACAGCTGGGGCTGGAATGAGGTCCACAGGGGATACACTCGGGGGGTCTTCAGTTTCAGTGAGGGGTGCAGTGGGACGTTCAAGTGATTCTGGGGTGGGGCAGAGTGCAACATCAGATGCCTCGAAGAGAGAACCAGACAGCTCTGTGGACTCTGAGAAGAGGCCTGAGGATTCAGACGGTGGAGCAACAGAATCTAAGCCATTGAAGGAAAGAGCAGCAGTGAGATCCATCGCAGCCTGAGGACTCAACTCTGGGGCATTTTGGATCAATTCACTGTCATCAAGCTCCTCTGTACACGGAAAGCATAATTACATATTAATACAATCAAGAATGACTACTATGAAGTTCAGTCCTGCATTGTTTAAAATATACTATACTATATACTGTTTACTCACCCACTCCAGATATTTCACTGTCCTTTTCCTCATGCATAGCAAGAGAGGTGTTTGTCATATCAATGGAAGACACAGACAAATCAATCTTGTCTAACAAATCTGCAGGATCTGGAGACAACTCTGATGCATAGGTATCAGAAAAGCCTTAGGGAATATTTAAAGACAATTTTAAACAAAATCTTGTGAAATAGAAAAAAATAAATGCACTCACCAGGGTCCATGACTCTCTGGATGGGTGGAGGAAGAGGCTCTGTCTGCAGAGAGACCTGCTCTAGATCCAATATATCTTCACTTGGGGTGGAGGGGGCCATCAATGGTGTCTGTAAACAAGAAAAACATTCTAAAGCTCAATGGGTGATATTGATTCAAGGCAATTTAAAACATGAAAATCATATTTCGACATTTGTTTTCAAGAAGAATGTAAGCAGTGCCTCTGTGTATCCATGATTTGATTCCTTTGGACTTGGTGTCTCTTCAGGAACACTGGTAGGGGTTGGAAGTTTCGGTGTTAGTGCATCATCCTGTACAGGGATTCGATGCAAGTAGCCATAACCTATTCCACAACCCAGACTGCAAAATACAAAAAGACTTTAAAAACATACATACATAAATCCATAAATACATCAAAATATATTGCTAATCAGAAAAATATTTTCACTCTTGGACATACCTGCCCTCCCCACCCCATGCACCATTAGGCGTTACCACCACTTCTCTGCATGTGTCAGTTTGTGTGTTGTATACCATCAGTTTTAATGCCTTTCCTTCATGGGCCTCAATCAGTGAGAAGAAGTCTTCTGACTGAAAAGTTGAGTAGTATATTAAATATTAAATATTATATAGCTTATCTTTATATCTTCTATATCTTTTTCTGGATCTTACATCTTGTAAAACCTGATCAGCTCCAATGATGTAGTCATTATAAGGCTGAAGTCCTGCCAAAGCAGCCGGTGAACTGGCTTCTATATCCTGATGTAAAGAATAATTTAATTACTAAAAAGTCTTTTAAAGATGGTTGCTGAGTTTCAGATAGAGTATTTACACTGGTATGCAAACACTTCCAATTTAAAGAACAAAGATTTTTTTATTACATTTTTACTTCTTACCAGGACATGCCAGACATTCTCATTGGCTCCTTGGTAACTACAGAAACGGACGCTGGCTCCGAGCAGACCTTGTCCTCCCCACATGTTACTGGGCACCACTTCAACCTCACGAACTCTCATGGTTTTTGTGCTGTACACTTCCATTCTTATAGGTCGTTCCATGTTGTCTTTTAGTACTTCTTTTAAGAGCTCATTCTCTTCATTCTGATTTACAACATAAAGAAATGGCAATGTCAGAATGCATTTAATTAAATGTAGCAATAGTATTTCTAAGAATGTTGGCAACATACTAGTCTTTTATTGTCCAGAGACAAAATAAAGTCGAAGTATGGTTGAAGTCCAGCTTTTTCTGCTGGTGAATTTGGCTGCACCTATAAAATAACAAGGCAATGCACTCAATTTGTGAAACCTACTATAAAACGTTTACAAAGAAAGATATACTAAGAAAGACATAAAACTACCAGATATGAACATGGAGAGTAATGTAATAAAATAGAAATATTAGAATTGAATTGCTTTTAATTCAGAGCCATAAGACACACAGTATGTTCACTAAGCTGATCAGCATGCTGTTAAACATTCACTCGAGAGTAAGTAGACATGCATAAAGAATCCTTACACCGTGAACATGGTATCCATACGTCCCTCCTTCAGATACCTCTGAACTCTGCGATAAACCCATTTCTAACAGTAAACCTGTAAAATTGTTTTATGTAAGAAAACCGATGGGGATACTTTTTTTAGTACAACGAGTCGGCAGCCATCTTGTATGCAGTCCAAAACAATCGAGCGTCGTGACGTCGAACTAGGTACGCACGCGCCATGGCAACCGGTAAACATAGCAACCAAGGTAGAAACCGCACTGACTGCCGTAAACATGACTAAATAGCTGTGATGGCGAAGATCATTGTTTTTGCGGTTTTCTTTGTCTTTGCTATTATGAAGAATGAATGAATCCCTTAAACAAAACCATCAAAAGCCACATTTTAAATAAATAAATATGTTTATTAGAGAAATTCATCAGCTGTTTTGAGATTGATATTTCTGCTAAAAATCTGCTCATGAAATATCTTGGCTGGTGATCCTATGGCAAAACAAATATTATTTTACAATAATTGTTGAATAATATGATGAAAAACACCAACATATTTTTTACTAAATAAACATTTTCACAATTCTTTATGTTAATAAATATTTACAGTTTTAGACCCATTTTTAGGCCTATGGCAGACGTTATCATCATTCTTTTATGAAAAACATATATTAGACAGTTGTATTTTCAGTATAAGGCATATAAGGCAACATAAAATATACAGCTCATAAAATATTTAGGCAAATCATTTGTCTTTACATAGAAATACAGATGTCAGCTCACAGCTCATACACATCTATAAACTTTAGGTAACCTGGTAAATCCAAACTTAAAACATGTTTGTTGATACAGATAATTCCTGCGTTTCTCTGATTACCTAATCCACCTGTCAATTGCTAAGGCTATTAGAAAATGAAAAGCATGGAGTTTTGGCTGGCCTGGCTACATATTTGGTAACTTTAATGACAAAGTATTCAGTCTGTAAGACCTATCAGAGACTCCAAGAGGTAGGTGCTGGATTCATCCTGTGGAAGAGAGTCAGAGCTGAATAACTGAAGGTTGTCCAGGCTGTCTGAGTGCCGCTGACTCTTAAAGCAGCTGTGTGGTAGCCCAGATGTGTAATCACTGTCAAAAAACTCAAGGTCCGAATCAGAAGAAAGGCTCAGATCCATGTAGTAGTCCCCAGAGGGCGAGGGAGTGTTAGGAAAGTCTTCAAGGGAGTTTTCATCCAGACAATTGGATTGAGGGGACAAACTTAGAATGTCTATGAATGTATTGTCATTTGAACAAAGAGGTCCTACAACATCACTATATGTGTTGTTACTTTGGCTCAATGGTTCATTGGTATTTCTAATTGATGAGTTCTTATTGTCACAAATATTTAAATTATGAGATGATCCCATGTTGTTTTCAGAAAGAGCTAAGTGTCCAGTCAAGCTCACAGCATCCAAAGAAGAGCAGGAAGAGACAGTCATGTCACTACTGCAGCTGTTCTCCTCCACCACAGGCTGCTCTGGTAATAAACTAAAGGGACTCACAGTAGGTATACTGAGAGGATTATCATTGTCTTCCTCAAAAGAAAACCCTGAGGGGCAACCGTTGTCCTGTATATTCTGTGATGGCTGAACTTTAGTTTGGTCCTTTGAAAATGCGTGAGTCTCGTGTTTTAGTCTCCGCTCGAGCTCCAGTCTCATGATGGTGTGGAAGTGATGAGTGCGTACACGTCTGGAGTCAAACTCCACTCGACCCTGGGTGTTCCCACAACCATCCTGACTACACCCACATGGGAAGTTAAAGCGGTCCACCTGTAACATATAATATTATTGTAAGTAATCAAAATAATATACAATAAACATAAAGAGAATGCAAACACTTTTTAAAACTGATTTGTTAGAAGACCAAAGAGCAGACACCGTTTATGTTTATTCATGCTTTGTACCTGACACTTGATGCCTGCCAGGCTGCATGCACAGCTCTCTGGTTCGCAGAAGCCTTGGCAGTCACACCCGCAGATCTCCCTGGAGAGACGGAGCGCATGGAGCTGCCTCTTCTCCTCCTTGTCAATGCGCTTCACCCCTGCAGTCAAGAGGATCGCCTGCCTCTGCTTTGAAGAGTACGGCTGAAGAAAGCCTCCACCCTCCAACTCAACACTGTTAATGTTGATGTGGGATTCCTCAATTGGTACTTGGTCTATTGTGAGAGTCTCAGCTTCTGTTTCATTTATGGCCCCACTGGAGATCAACTGTAACAATACAAATACAGATAAGGACTACAGGCTGCATACAGGTGCATTTAAGTGTGATAAACCATATATTTCTGCTACTCACTTTTTGTCTGACTTCCCGAAACCTCTCCTGCCTTCGACGCTCTCGAAGTTGCTCCCGGCGCCTGTGTCGTTGCTCCACAGCATGTTCGGCGATTGTAAATGTTTGAACTTCACTGTGTCTCCTTGTCATGCCCAGAGTGGCACCTCCACGACTGGGGACGCTGGTGAATCCCTGGCAGCGGGGAAAACTATACACAGTTACCTGAGCGAAACACACACTGTTCTGGGCATCTGCAAACTTTGGTCTCTTCAGGATAGATCTCGCTGTAAAAAAAAAAACACAAATCAGTTACAAAACACAATGCGTTGGTTAGTACAGGAAACATAGATGAGCATATATAGATATTTAGTTATAATCAAAGAGGCTATTTAGATCATAAATATAGGTCACGTAAGAGACCACCAAAACATAAAATTGTTGCAGCAGAAGACTCAATGTGCAGTTTTCTAAATAGCCACTAGGGGAGGCTCAATATACTTCAGCAGTGCATGAACACTAAAAAGAGTAAGTCAATGCAAAGTAAGCAAATGAAAATAAATGTAGAATCATTATTAAAGTAAAACACAACATTCTTGTGTTATATACACTCTGAGTTACTGTTTCACCTCACAGTGTGGTTTCAACCGATTACCTGATGTGCTTCACACAAAAGTGAGACTGACCTCTCCTTCCAAAAGTCAGTAAACAAGGCAGAGCAGCTGACTAAGCTCATCTCACCTGCTCCCTCTAGCTAAAAGTACAGGCTACATCACTTTAATGTTTACCCTACCACCAATGCCTATAATAAAGCGTGAGTATGATTTTAAATGCATTTGCCTCTGTGTGTTATCTTGATAGGGCAATATGATATGGGTTGTTTAAAGAGTCCTTGCAATTCAAATTAATCCCACAGCTCTCTATTGGTCAGGCAAATTATGGCTTCACATCCCAACAGTGTATTGGCTCTCATTGTATTATCTGTAGCCCTGAAGTTTTCATATCAGCATGCTTTGACAGACATGCTGTAGACTGATAAGAGACACTCCTATTGAACACATTAGGTAAAATTAGTAGATAAGGTTTGCATTATTTGAAAAGGAAAAGTGGGTGGGGCTTTTGAGTCTTTAAAAACTTACGGGGCAAAGCAGCAGGTGAAGGGGGTCTATGAGGGGTACTGTCGAGGTCTGAGTCCCATCCAGAGGAGGCAGGGGACGGGATGGAGGACACAGGAGATGAGAAAGAGGAGTAGCAGGGGCCTTCATCCAGCTCAGAAAACTTCCTCTTAAGGATGCCCATCATTATTTGGCCCAAGGGTTTTTACGCTATCTGTAAGACATAAAGTAGTACATTATGAATTACACATGTCCAATAGAGGTGACATTATATGGATGGATTGCAATTCATGTTAGAGTTTCAGTTTTTCTAAACCTTTTCCCAAATTAGACAAATATGGTTTATAAATGACAAGTGGACGAATGAGAGGTTTTTGCAGGGGAGATCTGTGATCTGGTTGAACCGGTTTTTGATTTGTTTAGGATAATTACAGAAACTCCTCAAAACTAATGTTTCTAAATGTACAAATGTAAACTGATATCCAGGCTTGCGTACTACCAGCTGAGCACTCATAAGACAGCGCAGGGAAAAACTGAACAGCTCCTTTCCCCCTCGAGTAATTAACATTCCAATGATTCCTTAAGTTTTTTTTGAAGAATGCTTGGAAACTGTCCACTCCTGTAATCCAAGTGACACAGTGGCTGCTATTTTTAAATGTAGAATTTAACAGGCAGACTGTATTGAAAATCATTGTGAAATGGCTTACTTGGTAAATAACAGTCTTATTACATAAGACATGTTGGTATTACCTCGGCACAGTGTGTTACGGCCATATCACTGTAAATAGTGTTCTTTTCTAATTTTGCAGAACATTTGAACGTGATGTCGCACTTGAAAGCAGCTGACCAGGATTAGGACTGACCCATCCTCAAGTACCCATCTGATCACTGTGCTCTGTTATACAATCAAATGAGTGGAAATAATTTTAAGACTCTTAAAAATTGTGCTTAGTCATAAACCTTGGAAAATAAACTGCATGTGTCAAAAATAATCACTCAGAAATAGAGGCATGTGATCATCCATGCTGCACAAGAAAAGGTGCTGATTGTCTGTAGTAAGCAAATACTCAAAGCAGCCAGACACTGAGAGTGAGCAACTTCCTGGATCCATCAGCAAATAAGAGGTGAAACAGGAGACACACTCTAGTGCCATTACACTGTTTACAGGGAAAGAGTGAAGTCTGCTGCACACGAACATGGAATTCCTCATAACCACCAACACAACCACAGCTCCTGACAGTTTAATTTCTGATCTGATCTCTCACTTGTTCATTTGTAGACCCAGAAATATGGGTGATATGTCGGATCTCTGTATTTAGATTTATAACCGAGGATTTGACAGGGCTGTAACCACTGAGCTGTATCATCAATAATTTAAAGCTCAAAGCAGGAAAAGCACATAGAGCAGAGGGGGACCATGGAGATCCCCTGTAGTAATATGACAGAGTGGCTTTTGAATGATTGACACCACTTCTTAGGAAGCACACAATGATAAGGTCTGAATATAAGAAACATTTTTATTGGAGATACTCGTTTCCTGTTTGTTAAATACAGTCATTGGAGAGCTGACCTGTTCACCCACAGACACAGCCTTAAGAAACCTTGTCAGCCACAATCACACTCTGTCCCTAAGCTACATTCTTTGCACTAGGGCTAAACACTGGACACATTTGTTCAAACTAAGCAAACTTTCTTTTACAGGACAAACTGACTAAGCTCTAAAACGTTCACAAAACAGTACTAATGTTTATCATAACAAGGTAATAATACAATTATGAAACATGAAACACATTATGACAACAAAACAAACAAAATTATGAGATTACATTTAACCCTAAGGTATCGTGGTGATTTCGACTAAACGTCACTATAGTTTATCGATTATTTAAACTTATTGACGGACTCAGAGTAATGCATGAGTTTATTTTACCGCGATAAACTCACCGTGTAGATGAAGACAAGCAGCATAATACAAGGCGAAGTTTTGAGTGTTATCCTCAAGTGAGCCAGCTGAGCATTGTAAGTCCCCTTGTGTTTGTGAACAGTAGTACCAGTGTGAACATGAGAGAGGAGCAGAGGCTGGGACTGCCAAAGAGTGGGCGAAGCATAAAACAGTTATACACTACGAGGAATGCGTCTCAGTTGTTGTGGACGGACATTTTCAAAATCTTTATCAACCCAGCAAGTATACACGCCAATCTACGCCAAACAACACGTAAAAAGACAAATATTATATTGAATGTGATAAAGTAAATCGCCAGCAATTGTAGGTAATAAGCAGTTTGCAGAGTAGTCCCTGAATTTAACTATCTTGCCTGACATTAACACTCTTTGACTTTCTGTGACGCAGTTGACGCAGCCGATGACACACGTACCGACGTTAAAGGTAATGAGTGACGTCGCTGCCCGCAACATGTGTCTTTACACACACTACCCTGATTACATTACTTGGAGATCACGTAATGAATCGTGGGAGAGCTTTGTCTACAAAAGCCTTCAATACATTTTACTTTAAAATTATATAGGCATAAGGTAAAAATCTAATAAATTTAGTTTGGAAGAGTGAGAAAGACCACATGGTGGACCATGCATGCGCTTTTGGTGACCATTGACTTTACGTTGATTTATTTTTAATTTTGATCTTTTTCTTTCCTCTCTTGGAATGAGTATATTCAGTATTCTTTACAACTCATTTATTACCTATCAGAGTATAAATTGGACTTTGCAAAGTGGCACTGGAACAGTCGCTGCTGATCTGTCTCAATCCACCCTCCCAAAAACACTTAACTGTATGAGAATAGACTAAATATAAACTTGCTTCTTTAATGTAAGTTCATAGTTTTTGTTTCTGTAAATAAACTTTGAACATCTAAATGTGGATATTTGGATACAGCCTGATGCAATTTTAACAATGTTTGAACCAAATCAGCAGTAAACACCTGTCCATCTAATTTTTGAGGCCAGGGGACAAATGCCAGTCGTGACCCCAGCGCTTTTTGAAACACAGTGAAGTGTGTGACCCAGATTGGGTAGGATAACTCTGGAGTGAGGCTGTTTTTCTAGTCCACTGACCTATCTAAGGAATCCATTTGAGTTAGCCTAGAAAGACAAGTATTAAATCCAAATGAAAATTTAAATTAGCTTTATTCTAAGTTAATTTATATAGATATAGATTAGTTTACTTTTGGATAACTTCTAGTGACATTTTTAAAAATTCATTTAAGTGTTTCCATTGCTGTTATCTTGGTTTTACTTCCTTTTAAGTTATGAACAAAATGCTCTATGCTGATCCAAGGATAATAATAGAACAATCACACAGTGCAGTCAAAAATAGGCATGTGCAATACCGTTGGAGTTTCCTGTTTCGTTTTGTGTCCATAATCACGAGCAGAAAGAGGTGTCTAGTGTCATGTGTGAGGTGAGCTCAATATGCCTGGGGGGAAATATTTTGAGGCAGCTTCAGCATTTGAGATCTTAAATATGCCTAAAACAAAGAGCATACAAAAAGCAAGCAAAAATAATAGAAATAGACATAAATTAAGATTTGTTTAGGTAGAAAGTCAGTAGTAGCCCATTTTAATTCATAATTTTAAACAGAGACACATCTACTGGTACCCTGTCTCTACTCATATCTGCTTAATGGGCAAACCATCCCAGACTTGGTCCATAGTGCAAGTTACATAACCTTATAGTTAACCTACATTCAGCCTCTCACAGTGCTTCATGGCTGTTGTGGCCCAATTTTTGAGGCATACAGCTCTGCTCTGAACTGACAAATATTGACAAAGCATTTACTTCACATTTGCATTGTAATATAATTTTGAATTTAAGGACATTTGGGAATACTTTTAAATCAAATATAGCATCATCCTTAATCAATGTCCGGTACTGATAAATTTTATATATTCAGATGTACTATCAGGTACTTCATCTGTAATGACTGTTCTACATTTTCAGTTTGTCCAATGTTATTATTATAAAATAAAGATATACTCCTGAAAAAGAAAATTTCAGACATTTAATCCAACATCTTATTGCTAAAGTTGTAAACAATGCTGCATTTACAATAAATTTCAACTTCAGTCTCTGTAACCTGCCAGTAATTAAACATTTGTATTAAAATTATGCACATCTAGACTTGATCTGTTGAAAAGTAAAAACTGACAAATCATGCTTTTGAATCAGCTTGTTTTTGGTGTTTCTTAGTCACGAATCCGATGAGTCAGTGAAAAGAAGAGGCAGCACCAAAATAACTGATTCAAACTTGTGATATTGACAAATCATGAAACAGCAGACTCCCACTTTCTTCCCACACACACACACGTCCTTTGAGCCTGTCACAAGAACAGACTGGGCTTTGTTAAACATAGCTGTTGATGTCATATTTTGCTGAACATCACTATGGTCGCCAGGGCAAATATGGAGTGTCTAAATTAGGGTTTGGAAAGAGGGTGAATCACACTTCTGCAGTACCATTATTACCAAGAGTGCTATTACTGTAGCCAACGCTAATGCATAAGGTTGTCTATCTATGATTAAACTAAGATTAGACTAGAGGTTCTATTTTCATGTCATGTAACACCTTCATAGCAAAGGAAAAGTTTGCCTTGACCTAATTTACTACATTTCAGAATAAGAGACATCAGATAATTACAGTTAACATTGCTTCACTTAAATTATTTTATTAGTTAGTATAGTGCAAAGGACTGCAGTGTTGAAATGAATAGATTTAATACAGATTTCTAAATTATAATTCAGTGTACCACCAGTTGCACACACGAATGCATATTGGTAAATAAATCTATCTAAAATCTAAAAGGGCAATGACAATTGGATGTCTCTCTCCCGTGTAAAAAGCCATTCGACCACTCGCTCAGTGGTTTGATAACACGACACCTTAAGCGATGTTTCAACCACCACATTTTGTTGGAAGACTTGACACAGTGACACTTACACTTCCTGTTAAGAGTCCTAATCTTAAAAAAAAAAAAAAAAAAAAAAAAAAAGAATTTAACTACAGTACTTTCCAGTGATTTCAAAAATCAATTTAAAGCTAAGAATTCAGGTGATTTGATATGAACACATTATTTTCTGCACAATGAAAAAAAATTATACACACTATTACTAAAATACAGATTAAAAAAAAAAATGATTCTAATGTAGAAAACAATCTTTTCCTTCTGCAAATAGTTGAGCTGTTGACACCAGTGACATCTGAGTGAATTGCAACTTGTGTAATGTACAGAGAAAAACATTTGGGGAGTTACTTTTGTAACCTATAGCTACTTAAAAGGAGTCATTAGCATACTCAAGTATTCAGATTATATAATTAAATATATTAACAATAGAATGTGACCCAATGAGTGTAAGTCTGCTGATTGTGTAAACTGCTGATTATTGAGTTGTTTAAGCACAGATTTCCATCTAACTGATAAACAGAAGAGGAAGGGATCAGTTTAAGGTCTTTCATATAGTATGTTAATTCACTTACCCTGAGACTATAGACTATAAACAAATACTAACTTCTTCCTCTTTGTTGTGCTACAGATTCACAAAGACCCCTTCTGTGTAAACACACTTGTGCAAGTGTAAGAACAGAAATACTTTTTACATGCAAATTCACCTCTACATTGTTCTTAAAGCCTGCAGGTGTGCAAGTAGAGCCTTTTATTGTATTGATTTGCGTAACTTTCTTTATTGCTCCATGCATTGCCTTACAATATTGTTTTCATTGCAAGTCCATTTGCAGCAGTGAGTGCAAAGTAAGTTACACAACTAGAGTTTTCAACAGAAGTGATCTTATCTGTCTCTACATGTGAGCCACACGAGCCTCAGCAGCAAGCAGCTGTGTGATTGGCTTTGACATTCCCCATTCAACAATGAAACTCTTGTCAACATCCGCCACAAAACTGCTCTGACCTTTTCTGACAAACTGCTGGTGTGGCCGAGTAGTGCAATAGGGCTATGAAAGAATGTGAGTGGAAAAGCAGAGTACATGTGCATTAGTGTTGTTTTGCATCCACAGTTACAGACCGCATGTCCTGATTCTAGCACTGGGAGCTCCTGTCCTCACTGTATTCTGCTGTGGGCTGTCACATGTGGCTGCATGTGAGCGTTAACAGCAGCCATGGCAGGAAGGAGAGCCGCTCTGTTCTCAGCTGCTCAGCCCAGGACTGACTGTTCTGAAGGCCCCCGCCCACCTCCTCTCACCCTCGGACTCACTGGACACCTCTCCCTTCCTCTGCTACTGCTGCAACACAAATAATACACAAACAATCATCTTTCATGGACTCTCTTTATTGCAAAGCATCAGTGTATTTCAATGCTTCTACTCCACTGCCAATTATAAAGATACAGCAGACACAGACAGTTCATTTACGTGCAATGAGCTAATAAACAAGAGTGTTTTTCTCTCGATAAGCTAACATCTACCATCCGTTTACCAGAGCCAGCAGAGCACGTCCCTCTAGCTCCATCTACTGGTTGTGAAACATCAATGGAGAAACATGATAATAGTGTAAGTACCAAGTGTCTGCGTGCATACGTCCCCTGTTGTGAAAAATGTGAACTGCTGCAATACATAACCTGAGCAGCAATGTCAGGCATTTAAACAGTAACATCTGACTAGACCAGCTGTCATCGTGTAGGAGTCCATTCTCCACTTTCGCAGGGGTTTCAAATGCACCACACTAATAATTTGCTCATCATAATCCCCCTGTAAAACTGCCAATCATTTTAAATCATTTTACAAAAGTTCCCAGTAATATTATGGCTGCTTGTTTTATTTCCAGGGGAGTTCGGGAATCATAAGGTGTTGCAGGACTTTGACCCCTTTAACTTTGCTGTGTCTATTAAAACAGTGAGAGATGCTCTTCAATAGTCAGTCATTCAGGGACTGAAAGGTGCACAGGTGACTTCTCTGCAGGTAAAGCCTATTTAGGTTAATATATGTACAGATCAATTCACTGATCAAGAAAGATTATTTTTAAATCAGGACAAAACAACCTTGTGATTCGAATATCATGTGTTTTGTGTTTAATTTAATAATGGGATTTAGATTACAGCATGAAATATCCTTTAAATACATTTTGTGTATTTTTGTGGTTGTAGGTCTACTGATATTTATTCATGATGATTAAAACATCATTTATATTTAAACAACACATATTTTATATTTAAAAGCAGTTGTGTGAGGCAGTTAAACATTAACATGTCATATGACTTTGAGAGTGACTGTCCATTTTAACAGAACCCAGAGTCAAATTTGCCTATGCAACAATCTGAGCTGGGTTTCAGGTAACAATACAACATTCTAGAGGCCTATAATATTGTTCAAATGCAGATTTTTGTTGTAATATAGTGAGTTGTAGGGTATAGTAATAATATAAACAATCAGGTTCAACATTTGTGAATTTACCTTTTGGATATTTCATAGCAAAATACCATGGTATTAGTGGAGAAAAGTGACTCTTGACCCCAATCCTGGAGTATGACACCATCACAAACTAGAATCTAAAAACCACCAATTAGTGGTTTATTGTTGCATTAGTTGTATATACATTTTATAAGGTGTTTTGTCACTGATTTTATAGTCATGCCAGTTTTAAGCCGCTGGGACCGAAAGTCTGTGTCTCAACTGGTGCAACAGTAAGTATGGACCAATATACAGCTTTAATTGACTTGCCTGATATTCTGAAATAATGTATTTTTAACAGTTATCAAAGCTGTTCTGACTTGAGATGCATTGGAAAATACGACGAAACACAGGTAGCTTTTAAGAATTTGTTAGTCAAAATAAATGAAAAATGAGAACTAACTGCCCCTTCATGCGGTGTAGGATGCTGACCTTGTGGATGGCAGATGGAGGGGGGTCATTATGGACAGCTCCAGAGTGGGTTTGTCCCGAAGCCAGTCCATGGACGCCCTGCCTCAGAGGGGAGTGTGCAGCACAAAAGCTCTGTGTGCTCTGTTTGAGTCAAAGAGCTCGATGCACGGTGGCTCCAGCCTGCAGCACCTGACCATAGCATCAGAGGGAGCTCTACAAGACTGGAAAAAACAGAAACAGAACCAAATTTATCAAGTATGTAAACCAAGAAAGATGAAAAGACATAAAAGCAATATAATGAAATGACCTAATGGCAGGATTTACCAAACACACTTCTGAGACTGGCTGTACACATACTTACTATGCCAATAAATACTGCGAGGAGTCGGTAGATGCAACTTTAATTGGGATATAAATCCATGATTAAAGGTTGAATATCATGTGATGCAAATTTTAAGTCGGCATTTTATACTTACTGTTTTTCAGAGAGATCCGAATTTGGTCAAAGGAACAGCTATGAGTGAGTCCAGACTGTTAAAAGGTGAGTAATACATATAATAGTAGTGTGTCTTGTAGAGTGTTGTAACAACAGTGTTTGGTCAGCGCTATATTTTAGTGTCTAACTAATAAACATTTAATGACGTACGGATGTAATGTGATATCAAATGATAGAGTAATGATAGCTACACATAACCTCTTTCTTATAGCAGAGTGTGTCACCCTAAAAGCATTTCCCCAGTACCCCGTGCACTTCCTAAGCTTCGGCTGATGTGAGGAAACCGCTAAATAAAGACAGAGCTGTGTGTAAATACATAAGTATGTGTCCTGCACATACCTTCACATCAGAGGCAGACTAGACCGCATCTCATTAGCCTCATGTGTCATGGTTTACCTCAGTGATTCTATGTATGTGGCAAAATATTGAGCTTTTGCTACACTATATATGTAGTTGGCAACTGCCATGATTGAAGAAAAACACCAGAAATGGAATCACATCAATGGAGCAGAAGTGGGTAGTGCTTTGTTTAATTTACTTGAGAAACTAGTTACTTGAGTAACTTTGTAATTAGGTAAAAGAACGCCACACTTTCACTACATGAGTAAAATTTTATTGAAATAACAGTACTCTTGAGTAAAGGTTTTGGTTACTCTTTTACTTCAGTACATTTTTGGTTAGTATACCCACCTCGGACAGTGATTAAGACAGCATGTTTATTATTCTGTTTATCAAGAGAATACATTGAGATAAAATTAATAAAATGGTTTAAATTATTCTAATCTGGAATTTCCTCATTGTGGGACAAATGAAAATGATCTTACCTTAAAGAACATAATGAGGCATACTTCTGTAATGTATTTCATAAACACTATTTTCTGCAGTCTAAATTGTTGATGTGAAAAGGTCATTATTATGGATTATTTCCATTAAGAGGTCCCAAATACTAGAGCCTTTGACTCATTAGGTTCACCTGTATGTCATTTGGTCACTGACAAACCCCCACTGACATTCCCAGGCCCATTTTAGTGACTGACAATGTTTGAGTGGAAATGGGGGGTGGAGGGGTGCCCCATCCCACATTGAGTCAGAGGGGAATTGACTCGATGCAGTACAGAGCAACAGCCACCTCCCAAAAATAACCAGGGCCACTTCCACTGGATAAAAATCAGCTGTCTGCCACGCCAGAGCCTAGAAAGACTTTAGACACAGAGGAGATACAAGCACACAGAGCCCTAAAGACTCAAGCGTATCCACACTAAGAGAACTTCGACAGGCCTCATTCAGTGAGTATTAAGTGCTTTTACTGAACATTTTGTGTGTTGTCCAGTAATAATGAAATTGTATTGTCTGATTCTGACTGGTTATAATAAGGATTCAAATAACAACCAGTCAAAGTTTAAAGAGATAAACAAGTGCTATTTGTCCTAAATTTGTGTAAAATATTACCCAAATAATAATAATAATAATAATTTTCTATTATCAAATACTGACCTGTAATTGATGAAAACCATGTTAAAAAAAAGATTTCTGGCCCCTAATATAAATTGCTCATCCATAATATTGTGTTGTTGCTTGTACTTTCATTTATTTAACAATAGGCTTGACCTCTTGAATGCTCAAAGAGGACCAAAACAGGACATGCGCTCTTTCTGTCTGCTCACCCATCTGTGACAATGTTTTAAGTCCGGGCTCGTGAGAGGCGCCACTCTTTTGGTCGGCTCTTTTGTCCTTTCAGAGCTCAGTGTGTCAAAGAAAAGTGTGCTACAAATCTAGACATTAGTTACAGCCGGGTGCCTGCAGTGCAGTGACCTGCACAAACAAATGATTACATTCACAATAAGTTACAGCATACCTTGTGTGAGACCACAGGCTCTAACATTATAAAACGGTTCATTCAGTGACATAGTGACACAGAAAGGAAAAGGAAAAATGATAAGTAGGCTAATTATAGCCATAATGTTGTAATAATCCATGATTCTCTCAAACACTGCAACCACTATATGAACCCTACTTATTAATATTGCATTCAATCATGTTATCTCAGACATTTCTATTTGAGTGCCAAAGTTGAGCCCATGTTTAGTCTGAAGCAGCTGAAATATAAATATATTTTTTCCGGCTTTTAACAGTGTCTCTCAGACACATTCCTCATATCAGGTGCTGATGCCTGTGGCTGAGTGCTCTGACCAACAATGTGAAAACAATCTGGGTCACTCCAGCTGACACCAGTTGGTGTTTTTTTTTTCTTCCTGGGCGTCATGGTCAGCCATGGCACGCTGAGAGCCGAGGTCTGGAGGCTGTGAGACAGCAGGCACTGTCTGTGTGGCCCTATTTATCTGTCGGCCCTGGGATCAAAGGCTGCACACTTGTCGCTGCCATTTTGTAAAGTTACTTACTACATATGTATTACCAGTACCAAAAGTAGAATAAAGCCAGCCAATTTTCACGATCTCAAAGATCCAAAATAAATCAAATGAAAATAGAAATATTATATATTATTATATTATGGGAAATATTGCTTCTGATAAAATCTTATACATATTTTTCATTCCTAATGTTGTGTGGCCTTACGTAAGAGGGTGCCTTGATGGTTGGAAATAAAGAGATAAAATAGTTTCCATACACAAAACAGATATCGATATCACTATAAATACACACAGGAAGAATCACTATAAATACTCCCTGGGACCAACTTCCAAAGGTATCTAAGTGCTGAACTTAACATCACAAAGAATACACTTGCCTTACATATTACTATTTTTGTTTCAGAAGATAATAATAGTGGATCAGTTAAGGGGTCACCAATCCAAGGCAGAAACCGAATACCCACTTCCTCTTCTGTGAGAGAGCGCTCCGCTCTGTATCTCTCCTGCTCAACAGACACCCCAGGAGGCTCAGAGCAGTCTGTGAGTGCTTCAAATACCTTTTATTATCTTCCACACTGAGGTCAAGGACTGCACAGGGTCAGATAGTACTGCAACAATAAGAAAAATCACTGTAAAATACACATAACATATACATATTACAACTAATTATTATGTTTTTATATTGTTAGGAATCCACTGGTTCTACACAAGGAAAAAAGCCCAGAGTCAAGAAGGTATTGTAGAATGTTCACTCTTGGTGTAATTTGTTTGTGTAGTGGTTTTAATGCTTGGCTTGCATTTCATTAATTATAGAAAGGTTTTTGTTTACATCTGAATATAAAAACTTCAAAATGTTATTTAATTGATTAAACTGCTGAACAGCAATCTAAATGAGTCTAGTCATAATATGCTTTATGAATATACAATATTTCTACTTCTCACTAACATTAATAACAGCCATTGATATGTAAAGGAACACACAGAAACACATATATCTATATACATACTATATATTATAGTATATATCTGCCTACTAACAGCTCTGAAGTATTAACCCTGGTTTGAAACATGGACAGTTTGCAGTAAAACTGAAAGTCAACACAATTAAAGGTAAAGTATAGCTTCACTTACATTTTGTCATTTGCATGCAGCAGTGCCATTTTTTATTCCACACGTTCAACCTACTAACTGTTTTCATGGTCTCTTCTTTTTAGATGGATGTTGTAGACGGGACCGTCACTGTTTCACACACAACATGTGGCGATGATGACCTTCCCCCTCCTCCTCCTCCACCGCCTGTCCCTCCCAGGCCCCTCGACTATGATGGGCCTTCTTCTGGAAGCCCCCTCCCTCCGCCCCCACCAAAAGAAACATTCTCCACATATTACCAACAGCGACAGAAAAGTGAGCTAAAGAGACTGTTCAAGCACATCCACCCTGACCTCAGAGCCAGCCTGGATGACGTAGCTGAAGAAGACCTGATGAGGGCCGTTCAGACAGAAACCTCTCAGACTGCAGAGGGTTCGTACCAGGCTGAAGTCCAGTCCATGAGGTGGATCTTTGAGAACTGGACATTGGACAACATTGGGGATCCTCATGGAACCAAGAAGCTGCTTGATGAGGAGGATTTAACAGGAGGGGATGTCAGAGGCACCACATCTAAGTTTGAGCACACTAACTTGAGCCAGCCATGCACTCAAAGACAGGCCTCAGTCTGCGGTGATGTGCGGACATCAGCATGGCTCTTTGAAACACAGCCGCTGTCTGCTCTCAGTAAATCTAGTGATGGGAGTGAGTTGGTGGAGGCAGTTCTTAAGGAGCCCATTCAAGCCGGTGATGTGAAAGGTAATCGACTCCTGTTTGAATCTACACCGCTTGGTGACTTGGGACGCTGCAACTCAGTAGAAGACCACAGCTTTCTGAAACTGAAATCTGAGCTGCAGGAACAAAAAGGAGACGTCCAGAAGACTGTGAAATTGTTCCAAGCGGGTCCCAACTGTGCCATAAAAGACAAGCGTGGCAATTTCCACAGAATCAAATCTATCTGCAGAGAGGAGATCAACAGCAGTGACATCAGCACTGCACGCTGGCTGTTTGAGACACAACCCTTAGATCTGATCAATAAAGACACTGACAAAGTCAAAATTATCCGGGGGATTTCACTGGAGGAAGGTCAAATCGGAGGAGTTGGGAAAAAGAGGTGGATGTTTGAGACACAGCCCATTGACACAATACATGAGATGATGGGAGGAGACAAGTTTGAGGGGACAGTAGTTGACTGTGAAACTGATGCTGATGTTGTCAATAAAACCAAACTCTTTGAGACAAATCCCTTATCAGCACTAAAGGGAGATTCTGCAGAGAAAACTCCGGAAAAAGATGAAATTATTGGTGGAGATGTAAAATCATCACTTTGGCTCTTTGAGACTCAGCCCATGGAGACTCTACATGACAATTATGAAATTGGACAATTGCAGAAAATCACACTGTCACCTGAAGAACAAGGAGAAGTTAAGGGCAAGAAACATATTTTTGAGAGCTGCAGTACACAAACCAAAGTCATGACCAAAGAACAGGAGATTGAGAAAGGAGATGTGAAAACATTCAAACATCTCTTTGAAACAATCCCCCTCAGTAAAATAGCCCGTTCAGTGGAACATGTTGAAAATAAAGAAACAAAGACTGAAGCAGGAAATGTCCAAGAAAACAAAGAGTTATTTGAAAGAAGTAATCTGTACGCAATAAAAGACAGCTCTGGAAATTTGCACAAGGTGACTGCCATCAGTCGAGAGGAATCCATCAAAGGCCAAGTCCAAAACTATAAGTGGCTGTTTGAGACCAAGCCTTTGGATGAGCAGGCAGAAAAAAAGGGAACCGTTGAAGTCATTAAAGGTATTACCAGACAGGAAGACACAATGGGTGATGTCAAGACAGCAAAGTGGCTTTTTGAGACACAAACCATTGATGGGATCCATATGAAGTTTAACCAGCCAAACCAATCATCAGCACATGAAGAGCAGCGTAAAGGTGATGTCAAAACCTGTAAGTGGTTATTCGAAACCCATCCTCTGGACCTACTATATGACAAAAGTGAAAAGGCTACAGAAAAAGAAGCCATTGATAGCACTGATGTAAAATCCATTACCTGGATGTTTGAATCACAACCATTAGACAGTATCAAGGATGGTGAGCAATATAACCTCAAGCTTTGTAGTACAATTCAGGACACTGTGAAACCTGAACTTGGTGTTCAAACAGTAAAACATCTTTTTGAAACTGAAACATTAGACAGAATACAAAAAGATGCGTGTCCAGAAGTGTTACATTGCGTTAGCCAGGTTGACCTTCAGTCAGGGGATGTTTCAAGGGTCAAAGAACTGTTTGAATCCCAGTCACTTGATGAAATCGGGCTAGAAATGACATCATTAGACTCTCAAAATCATGACGAATCCATTGAGAAAGGCTCTGTGCATAAAGTTACCTGGCTATTTGACAACTGTCCATTGAACAAGATCAACAAGGACAATAAAGAGGAGACCATCCAGAAAGTCGGTGATGCCGAATTTGGAGATGTCAAGCACAAGAAATTTATATTTGAAACCTCATCACTGGACAAGATTCATGAAGAAGAACTAGAACAAAGATCTGAGGTTGTGAAGCCAACCAGCAGCATCGATGTCAAGACGAGTACCATGATGTTTGAGTCCACTCCCTTGTATGCCATCAGAGACAAAGAAGGGCAGTTTCATGAGGTTACAACAGTGAAAAAGGAAGAAGTTCTGAGTGGAGACGTAAGAGGTGCACGGTGGATGTTTGAGACAAAGCCACTTGATGCTATAAAAGCTGAAAATGAGGTCTATGTCATTCGCGCTGTCACCCAAGAAGATGTTGAAAAAGGAGATGTCAAATCTGCAAGGTGGAAGTTTGAAACACAACCTCTGGACACTCTTACCGAGAAGGACACACCCACTGTTAAAGACTTTGAAGAGTTCGGGAGTGGCAATGTCAAGCAGAATAAACAGATATTTGAATCCAACCAAGCCTCCAAGAAGGTAAAGCGAATGGTAAGTGTCACAGATGTCCAGAGTGGAGATGTTAGAACCTCAACTTGGCTATTTGAAAACCAGTCTATTGATAGTCTCAAGGGGGAGTCTGAGGAGCAAAGCCAAGTTCAAACAGTTCACAGAGAAGACAGTCAAAAAGGAGATGTCAAGCGCTGCACTTGGTTGTTTGAGTCTCAGCCTCTGGACAAGATAAAGGAGCAAGAAAGTTCTTCAGCAGAATGTGTTGTGGCTGAAATACCCAAGTCTGATGTTAAATGCACTACATGGCTCTTTGAAACCACACCACTGGACAAAATAACTGCTACTAATGTTGTGGATACCCTGTCCTACCTGCATGATCTTAACTTTGTCCATTCAAGTGGCATCATAATTGAAGGAAAAGACAGTCAAAATGTCAGTATGGCCAAGTATTGCACTGAAAGTAACAGAAATGTTCAAATCCACAAAGAAGAGACAGTTGGAGGTAATATTAGAAACATAATTATACAATTGCTCCACAAACCTACGCTAAAGCCTCAGATTACCCTATTAAGAGAGGTAGAGAAAGGCAACGTGAAGACTACAGTGCTCGAGCTTCCTGTCTACCAGTCCAGTTCAATTGGTTTTGAGAAAGATCAGAGAATACAAAATATTGTCCAGAGGATTGATGAACTACTCAGCCAAGACAAGACTTTTAAAAGAGGACTTATAATGCAAGAGACTGTGGAAGGGCAAGCAGAGATGTCTGTTTATTCCCTCCTACATCATTGTGCAACTAAAACAGATGTCAAAATTGAAAAGGGTGATGTCAAGTCCACTATTGGGAATCTGCTAGCCACAGCTAATGAGAGCAGAACAGCAATATCATACAGAGTTGACAAGAATGAAAAGGGAAATGTGAATTTATACAAAAGATGCATTGAGGAAGGAGACCTAAAGAGTCTTCATGCTGAGGATTTAGAAGATGAAGTTGATAACTGTCACATGTCACAAGAACAAATTGAAATTGTACAAGGTGATGTGAAGGAAGCAAAGAGAAGTCTATGTCAGCAAAAAGAACAAGTAGAGCGGACTGTTTCGGACGTCTTACCTGGAGATGTAAAAAATACCAAAAAGGTGTTTTCATCCGAAACCAGTTTAAATGTTGAAAACTTTATCCCAAAGGATGAAATCATTCCTGGAGATGTCCTGATGGCAAAACAACAACTTGCAGTAAAACAGCAGAGTTCTGTGGAAAAAGAGGAAATTGTCAGTGGTGACATTAAAGCAGCGATGCAGTCTTTAGAACGAGCGAAGCAGCAAAGTATGACCATTGAGCGAGAGATGATCAAACCTGGGACTATCTATGATATGGACTTGTCAGGCCCAGATATGGAATCAGAAACCAAACAGATCCAAAAAGAAGTCATAATTTCTGGGGATGTTAAAGCTGCTAAAAAGTCACTTGAAATGGCAAAGCAGCAAAGTATGAATGTTGAAAGAGAAGTTGTTGTTCCAGGCAAGATATACAATCTGAACGTATCAACTCAAGAGGAACCCTCTACAACGACATCATCAACTTCCTCCTCAAGATGTCAGCAAGTCAAGACTTACCCTAAGGTCAGTGACTTAGTAAAACACAGAGAAAACAATGCCTCCTTTGAGGCCTATGAACACAACTCAGTTGTAGTCAGTAATGGTATAGAAACATTATCCAAATATGAGTGTAATGGTCATGCTAATGAGGATGAAACAGGAGAGGTTATCAGAGGTGATATCAAAGCAGCTATAAGGTCTCTGCAAAGTGCAGTTTCAGAGCAGAAATCTACAGATAAAGAGGACATTGTTAAAGGCAATGTGCAATTGGCTTTGCAGTCTCTTGAAAGATCTAGTGTAAATGTTTCCAAGGGAGATTATAAAGCTGCTATGATATACAGGAATTCAGGAAGGAGCAAGACAGTTACCAAACCATGTGTTGAGATGCCAGTGCCACCATCTGACACAAAACTGTCTCCTTCAATTTCAGTAACCCATGAAGAGGCTTCAACCACTGCACCATCCATCTCGGTAGACAAAGGAAACTTTCAGTTGTCCAGCTGCACAAATACTGCTTCAGCACTTGCACCTTCATCTGAAAAAACACACAATGAGAAGCCAGCATTGCCACCAAAACCCCAGTGGACAAAATATGTTTTGATGGAAGAAGAAAAGCCTTCCTCTGATACAATCTGTTCACCAACAAATAATGTAAAGAATGCTGGCACATTTCCAAGTCCAACGTACTGCCAGAGCGAAGCTGCACCAGTAATGGATGAAGTAATGAACACCCAAGAAATCAAAGTTAGTTCACCACAAATTTCAGATGAATCCTCAGGATTACCAAATGTAATTGAAATGGAACGAAATGTTACACAGAAAATAAATGCTGCAGAAGAAATTCAAATGTGCATGAAGAAATATGCAGAAGAAGGCAACCATGAGACCAACCTCAGTGTGAAAGCAGCTTTACAGAACTTTGAAAGAAAAGATGCCAAAAGAGGTTCAGTATTGTGTAAAATGGTGAAAGTAACTGTTCCCAAAGATACAGACTCTTTTCCAGAACCAAACTTTCCACCAAGTCTTGAAACCCATACAATGAGTACTCATGTTGCCTGCAATGAAAAACAAGAACAACAAGATCCTGTTCAAAAGGTTGTTTTGAGGGAGAAGAAGGTTAGAGAGACTGAAGAGCAGAGACGACAGAGATTATCTGTTCATATGGATGAAATTGTGAGAGGAAACGTTCAGGTTGCAATGGAAATCTTTGACAATTTACGTAAACGAGATGAACTCCAAGGAGTCCTGGATGAAGTGCATGAGATAGAAGGAGATCGCAGAAGTATGAATGATAAATCACTTAAGAAACTATACAAAAATTATCCTGTTTGGGCTGCTGCAGAGACGAATGCAAAACATGAAACAATGGATGAGAAGTTTGACGCAGATTCACTAGACGATGATCTAGAAAGCATATCTTCAGTCGACACAGCATATGAAGATCTGGAAAAGGCCAGCAAAGAAATTTTACTTTTGAAGGAACAGACCATTGCAAAGCTCCTTGACATCGAAGAAACAATTAAAAAAGCCCTGTACTCTGTGTCCAATCTCAAATCGGAGGCTGATATTGCAGGTCTGTCTGGTCTGTTTAATGAA